CCATCTCATAGAGCCACCATGAGTTTCTTTGGCATTTGGGATGGCATTGAAGTCTCCCATCAGTAACCAAGGAGATTGAGAGAAGTTTGCAGCATGAAGAATGATATTTTCCCACAACAATTGTCTTTCATTGGTGAGGTTAGCAGTATGAATGAAGGAGGTGAATAAGTTGATGTTGTGACCAATGATTGAGACACTACAATGTATGGCTTGTCTACTGGAATCTAACACTGTTAGATCAATCACATTGGGGTTCCATAGAACCCAAATTCTGCTCAATTGAGAAAATTCATAATTGTGGGCAATGGACCATGTAGGAGCCAAGAATCTATGTATAGATTCAAAATTCAAGGGGGAGACTTTTGTTTCTATAATAGAGACTAAATGCAGTTTTTTGTCAAAAATTAACTTTTTGATTTTTGACTGTTTAGAGGGTTGGTTCAACCCTCTAATATTCCAAGTGAGGAATGAGATCATTAGAAAGGAAAGGGATAGGACCTTCTGGATGTTCCTGGCCTGGTGGAGGACCATTCAACATCAATTCATAACAACTAATGGACTTCCTTCTTGCAACCTTCTTTATGGTTCTGATAGTTATCTTTCCTTCCATATGGTTTGCATGCTGCTGAGTGTTGTCTGATTCCTTTGCAGGTGAGTTTGAGGTGCCTGTTACTGCCCTTGAGTTGAGTTTGCTTCTTCCTGTTTTTTTATATTGTGGAAAGGTGGTTGGGGAGATAGGGTTGAAAGTGGATGATATAATCAAGGTATTTTATTAATTTCCATCATGTTTATCTGTGTGACTTGTAACCAAAGGGATGCAGGGAAATAGGTGCAAATTGATATTTCTTCCATGAACTTCATAATTATAATTTCATCAATTTCTTTCTTGGATCATAGATGCTAAGAGTCAAACAGTGCTTTAGGAAGCAATAAATTGTTCTCTTATATTAAAAAACATCCAAGTTGATTGAAGGTATGGTTTTCTTTATTTGACTAATTTATTTGATACAACATATAGAAAAGTGTAAATAATTTTTTGAGAAATAGCTTTCATTTCCTTCAAATATCTTAGTGATAAACATGAATTACACACAGCATAGAAAATCATCGGCTATAGATTCTTCAAAGTTGATGTGCAGAAATCAGTTGTGCAAAGAGAAAATATATCAAACACATGATATGAATAACTAAAACCACTTAATAAAAAACATTCCCCTATCTGCCTATGGCAAAAATTCTTTTTATTCCAGCTAGTTCTTCGAGACATGATAGAATCAAATAAAAACTCCACCACACAACTAAGCCTTAAAGTGAGCGATAAGGGAGAGGAAAATCAAGGGATGTCCTGTATTAGGAAATAAATCCTAAAGTGATAGTTTAAAATTGAGAAAATCTTATATCACATAAGAGTATCTCCAATCGTTGTGTGTGTATATATATATATATATTTTTTTGTGTAAATATGATGTGTCATGATGGATTTAAGCAAAAATTTTAGATTATTTAATTTTATTTTATACCTTTTATGTAAAAATATATCTCTTCATAACAACAATCCACGTGTCTTGTCAGGACCCGCATAACTTTTATAAATTTACTTAATTTATGTTGATTCTTTAATAGAATGAAAAAGAGGGATGAAAAAATAAATTTATTGATCTGACAGTGTAAAATAGTTGTATAAAATACACAATCCTTTTACATATTAGTGATGTGACAATATATCTTAACAGACTGCTGGAAATGGAAAAAAAAATTCACTTCATAGGTGACAATGTAAATTTTACACAAAAAGATATTTTAACAGACTGCTGAAGATGCTCTAAGTCACAACCAAAGAAAATTGATAGTCTAAGAAAAAATGATCAACATTTGTTCTTACCCAAAGTCAAAAAATGAACACAATTCAAAGGAAACAATCAAAGTAGCTGGAATCGTTTATTCCCGGCGGCAGTCGACTACGATGGTTGTAGGATTTGAGCGTGGTGGTTGTTGTCAGATAAAACTTAGGAAGCTGTCGTTGGAGAGAGCATGAGTAGATTGTGATATGGATTAGTGGGAAGGTGGATAGATATAATACAAGAGAATTGGTGATAGATATGATGTGTATGTGAATGATTTGTGTGTAGATTAGTTGATTTCCTTGACAGAAAAGATTCAATTCATAATGTTTACAAAGGTATGGTTTCCAATAATTAAGGACGTATAATAAGAACCTGTATCAAAATAATTAAAAAGAAATATCAAAATAATTAAGAAGAGATTGCAAAGAGATATGGATAAAAGGTAAACCTTGTACAGCTTGTGATTTCCTAAATTGGTGCTCTATCATGCCCCCGCAAGTGCAAGGATCCGGGAAGGATGCTAAAAGAGTTTGCGAGCAAGCGGCTTTGTTAAGGAATCAACGAGTTGATCGGAAGAAGATGTCATGGACGTACTCAAGAATAACATAGATAAACCTTACCCATTTTTAAAGCATCTAGAATTTGTTTACAGGACACCTTAAATAATATAGATATTTCGTTCACAAGGAATTAATAGTAGTTCTACGCTTCTTGTCAATTCTAAATCTTACACAACTTTTTACTTTCACTTTTTGGATGAGATCATTCTAAGGTATTACAACTGAATATTTGAAAGTGAGTTAAGATAACAATAATCTATACTATTATTAAAAATAAAAAGGGTGCCAAGAATTTCAAATTATTATTTCAATTAAAAATAAATAAATAATAAAATAAATTAATCATAAATTACCAATTAAAATACAGTTATCAATTACTCCGTAAAGTACAATTCTTTACTAGAATAATTTGAAATCATCATTATCAATTAAAAATAAATAAATAATAAAATGAGTTAATTATAAGTTACAAATTAAAATACAACATAAGTTACCAAATAATAATTCAAACAATACAAATATAAGTTAATCAGTAAATAAATAAATATATAAAAATAAATTAATGAAGTCAATAAGTCAAGAAATTCAAATCATCATTATCAATTAAAATTAAATAAATAATAAAATAAGTTAATCATAAGTTACCAATCTATATATATATATATACACTAAACATTAAAGCGTTTTAGTACATTAAATTTATATGTTTTGTATGTATGTTTCCTTTTTGAATAATACAAATTACTGATTTATTATCCGTTTTTATTTTAAAATTAATGTAAGATGTTTAAAAGAGTTTCTATAAAACAAAAATTACCCATTTATTATGAGTTTTTTTTTTAATAAAATAAAATCTAATTAGATAAGGAAATATATAAAGAAAATAAATAATTTACTCTTTCGAATTAAACAAGTAAATATTTAAAAAATATAAATAATTTAGTCTCCACGTCTTTTCTAATTTTATAAATAATATATAAATAAATAAAATATTAGTAAATTGTAATAAAAAATAGTCTTGATTTTGACATTATCATAAGAGTTTGAAAATCAATAATTGAATTCTTATTGTAAAGTTCAATTAAAAATTATATTTTTATCTCATTTACCTTGTGTTAATTTTATGTTAATATTTTAGAATTTATAATTTTTTAATTACTTTGTTAAATATTGATTTTAAATTAGATTTTACTCACCTGCAATAGTATATTATTTTTTAATAATCAAATTATATGTTCAGTATGTATGTTTCCTTTTAGAATAACACAAACACAAATTATTTATTTATTATAGTTTTTATTTTAGAAATAATATATAAGGTGTTTAGAAGAGTTTCTATAAAAGTCAAATTACCTATTTAGAATTACCTATTTATTATGAGTTTTTTTAAATAAAAGGAAATCTAATTAGATAAGAAAATATATAAAAAAAATAAATAATTTAGTCTTTCTAATTTGACAAGGAAATATATAAAAGAATATAGTCTATTTAGTCTCCACATCTTTTCTAATTTTATAGGCAATATATAAATAAATAAAATATTAGTAGATTATACTAAAAATAGTATTGATTTTGATATTGTTTTAGAAGTTTGAAAATACACCTATCAATAATTAAATTCCTATTCTAAAGTTCAATTAAAAATTATATTTTTATCTCTTTTACTTTTTGTCAATTTTATGTTAATGAATATTTTAAAATTTATGATTATTTAATTATTTTTTAAAATATTAATTTTAAATTAAATTTTACTCACGCATACAGTTTTACTAGTAAAAAATAAAAACATTTCAGTGCACTGCTGCAGTATCATTGTTAGTTCTATAATTAAACACTATATAATTCATAAATGTATATATATATTTCAATTTTATTTTAAAAATTATTATAAAATTTGATTTAAACGTGTTCTAAAGGTCTATCTATTATTTGTTTAAGTGCTAACCTTCAACTCCAACTCTACCTAACCTTCAACTCCAAGCCAATATATGTTCAGAACTTGAAATGTTAAATTGAGCTCGTGCCGTAAAAAATTAGCTAAAAAATGAGTTGTCCTTAAGTTGGCTTTAATTTACGTTACACTTATCAATAATTTTTTTAAAAATAAATGTGAATATATATAAAAAAAATTATATAAGTTTTCAAAAAAATTAATTCTGCAAAGTATCAATATACGATTATCAAAATTTAAAGACAAATGAAAAGAAAAATAAAAAAGTTGGTCACAATTATAAAGAAAATATAAAATATATTTAAATTATGAAATCATACAAATTCATGTTAGAATTCTGGCGAAGGGCCTTAGGCTGAGTTCGAGTTCGAGTTTCGTTTGAATTAGGCTCGAATTAGTATTTATTTATTTATTTTAATGAGCCATCATCCTTCTCATCTGGTAAATTATAGAGAGAAACTTCGTTTAGGTTTAGGACTAGGTCGTGCCACAATATTTAGGTAATTATTTACGTTTGGCCCTAAATTAATCCACTATATATAGGAGTGATTTTTTTTTTTTTTTCGGAAAGTATATATAGGAGTGATTTATCAAACGCAACTACGCAAGGGAGGCTACGGATATTGTACAACAAAAGAAGGGGAGGTTTCTGGTATTTTGAGTACAAATACCATAAATAGTTACGTTTAATTAACCTCATCAGCCTCTCTTTCTATATCTCTCTACTTTCTAGGGCTCCTTCACTCTCTCTTCAGCACGGCCGCCATGGCGAACTACGACCTGACACCGCGAATCGCTCCCAATCTGGATCGACATCTGGTGTTCCCACTCTTGGAGTTCCTCCAAGAACGCCAATTGTACGCAGATGAATACATCCTCAAAGCCAAGATCGAACTCCTCAACAATACCAACATGGTCGACTACGCCATGGATATTCACAAGTCTCTCTACCACACCGAAGACGTCCCCCAAGGTGACTCTCGCTTTCTTTCTCTCTCTATTCACATATCTCTCTTCTATATATACATATGTATATTGTCTTTACACTGCTTGTTTCTTAGTAGGTTGGTTTTTATGGGTTTGGGGGTTTTGAATGTTGGGCTTACATATCTGCTTGCTTTAGATACGTTGGTTTTTATGGGTTCGGGGGTTTCGAATGTATGCATACATGTTTTTAGATAGCTTATTGATATGATGGGTTTTTAGGGTTTTGAATGTCGGGATTGTTTGTGGTTTCAGAGATGATGGAGAGAAGAGCGGAGGTAGTGGCGAGATTGAAGGCGTTGGAGGAAGCGGCTGCACCGCTGGTTACATTTTTGCAGAATCCAAATGCGGTTCAGGAGTTGAGGGCTGATAAGCAGTACAATCTTCAGATGCTCAATGATCGATACCAGGTCTCTTTTTTGTTTTGACACTAATGAATTTGGTTTATTTTTTTTGGAGAGGGACATGTATTGGGTGTCTAAATTTATGCATATATATAAAAAAAAAACGTGGACAATTGCTGAATACCAAAACTGAAAGGTAGTGTCAGACCCTATAGTTATGTTCTTGAATTTATAAATATGAGAGAGATAAATACAATCTATCATAGTATAGATAAATGGATCAATATATAATTGATTCTCCATTAGTAGGAGACCAGTAAAAGTTGTAGAGAAATTTATAGAGAATGAGTGTTTGGGGAAGAAACACGCACATATATATATACATACATGTTGAATTAAGTTAATGTTTATCATCGTTGAACCATATATGAAAAAAAGTTTAGATGCAGTTGATGAAGTCTCAATATCTTTAATTAAATCTGAACTCTTCTTTTTATATGAAAAAGGCCATAAATGGTCCTTCAAATTGAAGGAATTTTGGATAACATTTATGGTTACAATTTCTTGAGGTGTATACAGTGTTATTAAAGGCACAAGTCGCTGGAGGTCCTTTGGAGGCGCACGGCTGAGTAAAGTGAGGCGCACAATTGAAAATTTAAATTGCTATAAAAGCATTCATATCTCATAAGCCATATCAATATTCTAAAAATTAATATCAAATATCAAAAATTAAATCCATCAACTAAACGAGCATCCAACAACCATAAAACAGAGCACAAATGTGTTTTATTTAAAGGAAAATCAGAATTTGTTTTTTTGAACGGCAAAACAGAGCAGAAAAAGAAATAAATTTGTTAGCAAAAAAACAAAAAAAAAAAAAACTCCTAACAAGAAAAGAAAAAACAAAGCAAAAAAAAAAGATGCAGAGATGGAAGAAGTAGATGAAGAGAGAAGTATATGAGAAGAGAGAGAAAACAGAACCCCCCCACACCCAAAAAAAAAAAAGATTGAGAGAGAAGAGAACTAGACAAAGAGAGAGATGTAAACAAAGATAAGAAAAGATAAGTGGAGGAGAGGAGAGGAAAGAGAAGTAGAGGAGAAGAAGAATTGACGTGGCTTCGTCATTCATCTCTACAATTAGGGTTAGGAGAGGAAAGAGAAGTAGAGGAGAAGAAGAAATGACGTGGCTTCGTCATTCATCTCTGCAATTAGGGTTTCGTTGTTCGTCTCACAATCTCACTCTCACTCTCACTCTCACTCTCAGTCTCTCTTCAGTTGACACTTTGACCCTTGAGTTTTCTTTTTTGTTTATTCTTTTGAACAAAAGTTTTTTCTCAAAAAGTATCCTTTTTGGCTTAAGAAATAGAATAATCAGAGTTTTTTTAAAAAAAAATCAGTGAGGCACGCCTAGGCGCACCTGACAAACAGGACCTGGCGAGCGCCTAGTAAACATTAGTGAGCTTGGGATAACAACAGGCGCTAGACCTGCGCCTCAAGCCTTGCGCCTAGGTGCGCCTTTAACAACACTAGGTGTATATGTTTAAATGTACGTTCAAATTTGATGGTAAATTTACTTTTTTAATTTTCAAGCCTTCTTAATGGACTTTTTTATTTTTATTTTTATTTTTTTGGACAGTGATGCTTCTATAAAATATAAATGAATAGTAATCCACTCCATATTTTGTTTATGAAACCTTTTTTTGTTTTGTTATTATTATGAAATTAATAATGATTATTTTATATAGTGATTCTTTAATTCTTTATTTTGCTTTCATCATATATGTTATTGCTGCAGGATATCTGACTTTGTGTATATTTTAAAGCTTAAAAATGACATTCCTTTCGAATTTCTGTTCAGATTGGTCCAGAGCAGATAGATGCATTATATCGTTATGCGAAATTTCAGTTTGAATGTGGAAACTACTCTGGTGCCGCTGATTATCTGTATCAGTATAGGGCCTTGTGCACAAACAGTGAAAAGAGTTTGAGTGCATTATGGGGAAAGCTTGCAGCTGAGATATTAATGCAAAATTGGGATATTGCTCTTGAAGAGCTTAATCGGTTGAAAGAAATTATTGACTCAAAGGTTTCTGTCATACATCTTTTATGTTAGCTTATATAAATAAATATTCAGTTTGGCCTAGGAGATGTTTTCTAATGGTGATTTGTGTTACAGAATTTTTCATCTCCTTTGAATCAAGTGCAAAGTAGAATATGGTTAATGCATTGGAGTTTGTTCATTTTTTTCAACCATGATAATGGCAGAACGCAGATCATCGACCTATTTAATCAGGACAAGTATAACATCTCAACATATTCATCATCATTTTTGATTTACTTATCTTTTATGTCTCTAATATCTTATATATAAAGTTATGTTGCTTAAATTCTTGTCAAAGCTATTTTCCAAGTGCCAGTTCTCTAACACTTCTTCTTCTTCTCTATTTGGTTTTTGTTATTATTATTCTCCTTTTTTCTTCAAAGTTACTATTGCTGTTATTGTTGTTCTCATCATCATTGAATTTGTTTACAATTATTGCAAATGTTTGATCTCTGTTTTAACCTTTTAAATTAGTTAATAATTCTAATATCTGATATCATTTGAACAGGGACGATAATATAATATTTTTTCACTTTTCTTCAACATGCTAATTCAATTATTCAACATTAATGTGAAACAATTGCAAAATCTCTTTGGTGGTAGCTTGCTCTTTGGGATGGGAAATTCAGGCAAGTAGGAGCACATGACATCCGGACAGAAAGCTTTTAGTGAACTTTTCTTTTGATAGGTGAGCAACACATGCACACACTCCCATGGACCACAGTGCTCCTTGTTGGGCTTGAGCAGGTCACCTCCCTTTGGGAGATAATTCTAATGCTCCAAATTTACCATCCCTTTCAGATTTTTATTTTTCAATTTACCTCTTTATTTTCGTTCTTCAGTAAAATCGCCTCATTTATAGCCACTTTTAATGGGTTCTAAGGGGATTCCAATTGTCATGTTGCAGAATCTTGTATAATATGTTTTAATATGGTTGCTTTTCTCACTATGCTCTCCCTTTGCTTGCCTTTACATTTATGTATTGAGTCAGGCTCTATTGTTTCAAGTGTGTACTTGTTAGTAGTTATAAGTTATAACGGGAACATTTACCAGGTGGAATTTGCTTACAAGCAACTAAAGAATTAAGTAGTTAGTTTTTTTATAAGACCCGCAATTTTGGTGCTTCTTACTGAGATGATCATTCTGTTAAATATCTGATTCCCTTACTATATGCGAACATCACTTGAATTGTCTTCTACTTTAAATGGTAGAATAACTTGTTTAGAATAGGTGTGGGTCCAAAATTCAAAATCAGAGGTCCAAAATTCTCTCTTTCTCTCTCTCTCTGATGGTTAGGCATTGGTCCTAATGTGGGTACTGCTTGATATATGCTACATGTAATCACTCCCTCCACATGATGCTACCTCCTGTTGTATGTTCCTAGTATATATTTGTTATTGCAATTTTATTTTTTTGATGGTCATGTAGTACTGTTTGAAAAATAAAATTTTAAAATTCTCCCTGGCAGGTATCTGAATGCCATTCAGACTAATGCTCCTCATCTTTTGCGTTATCTGGCCACTGCATTTATTGTTAACAAGAGGAGAAGACCTCAATTTAAAGATTTTATAAAGGTTATCGAGCAAGAGCAGTACTCTTATGAGGATCCCATCACAGAGTTTTTGGCATGCGTATACGTCAATTACGACTTTGATGGGGCGCAAAAGAAGATGAGAGAATGTGAAGAGGTAAGCTTCTTGTACCTCTTTAATTGCTAAGTCACACACTCTCACACACACATATTTCTTGACAAGTCTAATTGCTAAGTCAAATGGAGAGGCCATGTGACATTTGTTTCCTTCAGTTCTTCTCAACTCTGTAGTTACTTTTTATTAATGTATTTGGTGCTTGTTGAATATGGATATATAATGTAGGTTATATTGAACGACCCATTCCTGGGCAAACGAATTGAAGAAGGCAACTTTTCAACTGTTCCTCTGAGGGACGAGTTCCTTGAAAATGCCCGTCTTTTCATTTTTGAGATCTACTGCAGAATACATCAGCGCATTGACATGGGGTACGTTCCTGGATGCTTCTTGTCCCCTTTTGGTGGAGGCATTGAATTTTCTTTCAAGTTCACCTTATATGTCACTGCTATCATGATATATTATTTGTTTGGCTTCTGTTTGGATACAGACACACTTTTGCACTTTTTGATACGTTATGCATGGTAATGAAATGGTTGAAGTATGTCATCCGTCCTTTGAGTCTGACTCAAATGAAGGGGGTCAATCACATGAATTTTGTTCTCCATTTTATAATATTATACCCCATGTCTCCTCTATTATTTAATTTTTTCAAGCCATTTTTAATTACTTCATTTTGTCTGGCCTTACTTTCTTTTACCTTGTATGCAAACTACTGTTTCCTTCCGTTTGAGTGCATTAATGGATCTACGTTGTGTGTCCATACCACCCAAGTCTTTTTTCTCCTATTTTGTCACTAATAGGAGCTTCCTTGATCTCCCTCAACACTTTTGATTAACAAATTGATCTTTTCTAATCACTCCTATGATCCACCTCAACACTTTTGATTAACAAATTGATCTTTTCTAATCACTCCTATGATCCACCTCAACATCTACATTTCAGCTACGAGAGTGTTTTTTAATGCCTAACACTGCCCCATATAAGGTAGCTGGCCAAATGAATGTCTGATAAAAATTTTCTTTTAACCTGTTTGGTATTTTTCTATCACATTGGATACCACTAGCTTGTCTCCATTTGGTCCAACGTATTCCAATCCTACTAGTAATATCATGATCTATTTTTTTCATTTTCTTGTATTACTGCACCATTGGATGTCTTCTCTTATATCTGTCACTATTTCATCTAGGACTTGTGTAAATAGGTATGAGACTATGAGTTAAGTAGTATTGATCCTTGGTGGAGACCCACTTTTGGTTCAAACACTAGTTTTCGTATCCTTGTGCATATCCGTAATAATATTTAAAGAGACTCGTTTTCTATGTAAAGACCAGCAAATTATATTCCTTGTAACTCTATCGGAAGCCTTCCCTAAGTCTATGAAAATCACGTGTTGGTTTATTTGCTTACTTCTACATTCTTCTATGAACTGCCCGAGTAAATGGCATCCATGTTAGATATCCCTGGCGTAAATCCAAATTGATTACATTGGTTTCATTCCTTACTCTTTGTTCTATATACGAGTCATTTAATTTTATTCCTCAATTTTGTATATCACCTTTATTTTTGTATATTAGGAAAATAATACCCTCCATTCAATAGGTACCATTCCTTCTTTTAGAATTTTATTGAATTCATTTGTTAGGCATTCAATTCGCACGCTTTCTAAAGTTCTCCAAACTTCTATTGTTGTGTTGTCAGCTACCACCACTTTATTGTTACTCTTTAAGTGCATCCTTAATTTCTTTCTTATTTATCCTATTTATCATTCCCATATTATGTTGAAGCATGTATAGTAGCCAAAGTTGTCCTCCCACAAATTTAAGGGCGTGGTTCGGTTTATCTCCATAAACATGAACATCCCAAATAATCTATAGGAGAATGTCAAAATTATCTGAGATGTTTTATTCTCATATATTATATTTTTCTCAAACAAAAAAATGAAGTGACTTTTTGTTTCTTGATAAAATTTTAGAATCGTTAATGGAAACCTTCCAGTTTGTGCTTTATATGCCATTTTCAGTTTCTTCACATCTGGAAATGAAACTGATCAACTTTTTGTGAACAATTTAATAATTTAAAGTATTGGAGTCTACTACCATCATTTTTGAAAAATGGTTTATTCTGGTTCTATGAACATATATAAATCGGGAAATAAAGATTTTGGTGTGCTTCGATTCATTATGATATTTTGTTTTGAAGCATTCGCTGATTTTTGACAGAGTGCTTGCTGAGAAACTAAATTTGAATTATGAGGAGGCGGAGAGATGGATTGTAAATCTTATACGAACCTCAAAGCTCGATGCTAAGATCGATTCTAAGTTGGGTACTGTTGTCATGGAACCTAACCATCCCAATGTGTAAGTCAAGTTTATTCCTTTTATTTTTTATTTTTTATTCTTACCTATTACTTCCCGTTTCTTTTATTTTTTTCTTTGCTTTATAAAATTATTCTCCTTGTAATTAGTGTTTTCACTTTACAGTTATGAGCAGCTTATTGATCACACCAAGGCACTGTCAGGGCGTACTTACAAACTAGTCAGTCAGCTCCTAGAACATGCTCAGGCACAGCCTGCGCGATAAGTTTGTTTGTTTGTTTTCCGTTTTGGGGCTTCTGGAGATTGCTTTTCAGTGAGGCTTAAATTAAGATTAGAGCAATATATTCGACATTTTTCAGCTATCTGTTTCAGTTGATAACTCTGGTTAGATTTTCAGAGATTAATTAATGTATGTTAATTTTGGAGGAATCACCCAGTTCTTTTCAGAGATTGTTTTTTTTTTATTTTTTTGTTGGTTATGTGCATTGCACTAGCTTTATGCTAGCTTTAAGAACTGTTGCGTCATCTGAAAGATGGAGTAAATACTTTGTTATGAAACTGTTTGGGGAGAGTGAAATGGTAGACCAAACCCAATTTATAAAAGAATTATTTGGAGAGGGTTGTTTGGTCTTGAAAATAATTTTTGTTTTTTGTTTCCTTATTTCTAGGATTACAGCGGACAATTACATGGATACTTCAGATACAAAAAGGAGAATAAAAGGGAGAAAATGACGTGATAACAATTAAATTAATTCAAATGTCATATTTTTTTTATTTGATAAGTTGTAATATTTGCCTTTTTCACTTGAATTTATATATTTGTTATTATTATTTGACTAATTTTTACCAAGCCAAAAAAATTAAAATTAAAATTAAAAAAACAAGAAAAGTGAAAAATTAACCGGTTTAATTTTTATAAAAAAAAAAGGAAAAAAAAAAAAAAGAAGGGGAAAGGCAAATTCAAACACGACTCAACTCCTCTATCAATAAAAAAGGTATGACATTTAATGCTGGTTACGTGTCATTTCATTTGAGTTACTACTCTATATCTTTTAGAAAGAAAAAAAAAAAAGAACAGGTTGGTGAAGAAACAGAGGAACCAACGCCTGCCGTCTCCGTCTCTCTCTCTCGGGTAGCTCCCTAATTCCCCACCCTACATATATTATTATATCTATAATCATCATCACACACACACACACACACACACACTTTCTCTCTCTCTTTCCTCTCCATATATATATATATGTATGTGTGAGTGTATACAAACATTGTAAAAATATGTGTGTTTATGTGATCTTAGAATGTACTGTGTCTTATTACATCCCAGAAATAACTGATGGGTTTACAAATGTTAATGAAATACTTCTTGCCTCATTCTCTGTTCACACAGTTCAAGGCTTTGCAATATTAATTAATTTCTTGATTTCTTCATGAATTGAGAGTATTTGGTTTTCAGGGACGCTTTTGTTTTTGTTTTTGCATATTTATGTTGCCTTTTTTTTGGTAGATTATATTGCTAATTTCATAATATTTGCTTGCGGAGGGTAGGTGATTCAGGAGGGTTCATATTACAAGTTTAAAGGATTAATGAGATGGATTTTTACTCTTCTTATTTGTTCATGACTATGATGTTGCAAAATCGCCCTGTAAACCTTAGGTTTTTGTAATGTTGGACGCAGTTAAGAGAGGAGAGAGAATCCTATGAACTGATTAAGCCAAAGGTTAGGTTTGAAAGCTTTTTAATATCAGAGCTTTGATTTTTATTTTATTAATTTTCTGTCCCCTGGTAAATAAAGCTTTGATTTTATTATTTGATTGTTGAATATATTGTTTCTTGACAAAGCCTAATTTCGGGATGTTCAAGCTTGGCTTGGCTAATTAAGAACATGTTTCAGCTGGACATGAGATTACACAGTTATGTCAAGCCAGCTCAACAAGTTTGACCACAGACTCCACTTGGATGATGAAATGACCCAAACAACTCCCCATGTTCAGTTCTTCAAACTTGATTTATTATTTTGTCCATTATTGAGACACCAGAGGACGATTCTAGCTGCTATATTCAATGAATAAATATTGTATGAAGAAAATCGAGGAAAAATCAAGATTTGCAGGGTCCTTGATGGACCTTACATCATTTACATGTAAGTCATGATAGTAGATGAATATTAGGATGATAAGAGAAGGAGAGGGAGGGGAATAATAAGAGAGAAGAATTAACTATACCTTTGATCTTGGTACAGCTCTAGTGATATTCCTAGAGGTGTGAAGGAAACATCGGGAGGCAACCAATATTCACTCAAGTGGAGCCTTAATCCTTACAAAAACTTAAAAACATATACATCCTCCATATTCATGAGAGAATGAGTTGAGCTTAAGGCTGTTTAGGCACGGTTCATTATTGAAATGAGTTGGGTTTTGGAGCTTGATCCTAGTTCATTGCTTATAAATGAGCTTGAAGAAGCTGATTGTTCATCTTAGCCTTAGTCCAAGCTGTTTGTGAACATTTTAGTTTGTTTGCAGCCCTATGTTTCCCCTCTTCGGATTTCATTCTTTGGGAGGGAGTGGGAGGAGATGGAGTATGTGGTTTTCATTGTGCTTTGGGCAGTTCAATTCCTCAGTAAGATTCATTTTAGATATTTGTCTTGACGAAGGTAGCTAATTTTGTGTAATCGTGCACAATTTTCTTAAAGTGGGCCATTGTGGTTCAAAAAATTAGGTATTACCTAATAGGTGCATCTCATTTCAATGAAGGCTATTATTCTTTATGTCATCATATTTCGCAGTGTGTTATCTGTGCTATTCCATTTGTCCTGATCTGTGAAGAGTTGGGAATGATAAAGTTAGGGGTATAAGATCCTTCTGCAAACAATTTCCATTTTTTCCATCTTTTGGTGTTTATTGGAATACCCTATATCTATCTTAATGAAGAATAAACCATAGAATGAAGGGGACTCATCGTAATGATACTTCAAACTTAAACGAATAGGAATAAATTAATACTTCTTTATCTATTAGTTATTTGCAGTTGCCAAAATCTTAGTCTTTACCTGGAGCTATTACGAAGAGCAGGATCATTTCCTTATGGTTTTTGGAGAATGATTTTGGTATAGTTTATGGCATATTAAAATTAGAAGGCGCTGCTGGATCTTCATGATTAAGAAAAACTGTAGCCATTTTGACAATCGTTGACTGGTGAAAACAGAGTATCTTTTAGGTGTTAAAAGTGTAAATCCGGTCACATTTTGTATAATCTTGCATGATTTTTGCTTTCTTTTGGTTTCTTGTTTTTCAATTTTTCCAGATCCTCCTTGAGTAGTTAAAGAATTTGCGGGAAGCCATAACTAAATTCCAAATTGAAAGAAGAATAGACAAAGAGCATCATATATTGTTTTCTGAGTTTAAGAATTATAACAAGTGAAGCAAAGATATTTTTCAACCCTGAAGATTCTGTTCCTCACTCCCCCCTGGTGAACATAACCATTCCAGCATTGACGATCTTGTATTAATTATTACATCACTTGATGTGCAAGAATTAAATGCAAAATAGTTTTACCATATCAAATAGTGAGGCAAACGACAACCTCTGCTCACACTGTGTGTCGTAGGACATAGTGCCACCATCTTCTTCTTGGAGTGTAGTTTTCTGCTTCTGGTCTTGTGATTTATTTATTTATTAAAAAAAAAAAATTAAGCTGGTGTGTATATACAATTAATCAATGCTTTATGAGAAAACAAGTTCAGTTGGTTGACCTGCCACTTTGTTTGCAATTGGGGGTTATGCGAGAAGATTGTGACAGGATGACTTCACCTTAGTTTTGGCAAGTGCTTAGCATGTCAAAATTTATATACTGCTGGGCATGTAGGTGTGTAGTTGTGCCTCAGTTTTGGGGAGTACATTCAAATTCTACTTGAAGATTAGTGGCATAAAGCCAGGTCTCCTAGAGGTAATTTCAACATGGTTAATAACATGGCCGTCTTCCTCTTCTTCTTTTTTCTGCTTTTCATGAATTTAGGTTATCTTAGAATGAGAAAGTGTTGCATATTATATCGACTTTATGCTTTTAAAGTGACGCAGTTGAATAATTCTGAGAGACGATTTGAAGCTTACTTTTTTCTTTCCAAGTTTGGGAAAGAAAAGTTGAAGCTTCATTAAAAATATATCCAATTGAAACTCATAGTAGAATGATTAACACTAGTAAGTAAGGAGTAGGGATTAATGGATTATCTTTGTCATTGATGTGGAAGCTATGTTACATGGACTGGGATACATCTGTTTAGAATACGTCTTGCAGCTGTGGGTATATGTAAGCATTGGATTTATCAGATATCCAAATCTATGGATGCGGGGACACATCTAACTACTCATATTCTATTTTTTCAGTGCTTAATATTTCACAAGACAAAATGATGGTTTTATGCAATATAGAGTATACGACTTGTTCACTTCATTCGTTTCGAAGTAATAATGTAACAGAAGGAACATTTTACGTGAATAACATGTACAATATTATAATAAATTTGAATGGACTGTTATGCTTACTTAGGTGTATGCCCAATTAGACATGTTGGACATATATCTTTTACCATGGATACTTCATGCTTATGAAAGAGTTCATTTAACATAACCAGTGTTTTGGGTTGGATACTGGCATACTTGAGCAACATTTTGTTTTGGATTGAGCAGCTGCAAGTATATTAATATGTTTGACTCTTTAGGAGATGGGGGAACGAAGATGACAAGTGTTTCCTGATAGTAAATAATTACTGCTTTTCATTTTTAATTGCTTGTGAAATTAATGTGACAGTAATGTCCTATCATTCCTAAACAAATTCATTTTGGACGTGTTTAGAACGTTTGAAAATTTATGTGCTCTTTCTGTGAAGCTTCCGTCTAAATGTTGGTGGTTGTTATTTTTGTTGTTTGGAGTTTTTGTTTCATTTTGATTCTAATACATTATAGGTAAAATCTTACAGGAGTTGCTGTTTTATTAGGCTTCCAAAAAGTGTTTGTTGAGGGTCTCTTTCATATCACCAGGATAAATTTTTTAAAGGACTTGCTTCTGCATATTGTGCAAGATCAGATCCAGGATGGAGGGTGGGTTGATTGAAAATATGAGGGGTACTACTTTATGCGTTGCTGAAGTTACATTTTGAAGCTTTTAACCTTTACTAGTACTCTCCTATTTTTGTTTTCAAGTCTGGGATTCGGATGAAACTTTCTATTTTACACTTGTTCATTCCGCTTATTTTCCATAAGGTTTGTAAAAATTCAAACAGCATAAAATTCCTTTTTCTTTTCTTGGCGAAATTCACTTTTGATTTTAATAAATAATAGTTGAAAAGATAAAAATCAATAAAAATATTGACTAAATGAGGAAATTAGGTAGCATTAAGATGGCATGCCTAAGACACACACTTATAATCCATTGAGCACTCATGATATGCTCATATGCTGTGTGAGAAATCTACAATCAATAGGCTTTGATACCAATTTTGAAATAGGTCCTATTGTTATTAATTTGCAACTAAACTTTTCAACTTTCTGTTATCCTTGTTTAAAATTCATTTAACTAGTTAAACACGTGTCTCAATTACAATCACAAAAACACATAAAGCATTAAATAAAGAAAAAACATTTGTGAAAAACCCTAAATGGTAAATATCTCGGGACTTTATCCAGCCATGAACAACCCACTACTAGAGAATGAGTTCTAGAATCAAACTCAGACTTACAGATGATCTCTTTGATCCTTCCAGCCACTAATTTGTCAACGAGGCCCACTCGTAAATCAATCTGCTTCTCCATGGGTGTCCAATTATTCAACTTTTTCTCTCTAAAAATATCAAAATTCTCTCAACTATGTCTTCAAGACTTGTAGAGATACCCTAGATTGACTAGAACCTTATAATTATAGCCGGTGTAAGATTCCTAATTAGAACAAGACGTATCTAACTAGAAAGTATAATCCTTTGCAATTTTCCGCAGGTCGATTGATTGAGCCTTTGACCGAGTGACTGGCCTTTTGTTGATTGATTGAGCAATTGGTCAACAACTATTGTCTAGTTCAACCAATCAAGCTTTTGATTGTTATTTTGGACTTCGATTGGAATTGTGGGAAAATGTCAACGACCGAGCACTATTGATTTTGTAAAAATCCCAATTTAAAACTTCATTTGAAATCTTTGAGAAAATTTTGGATAAAGCATGACAACTAGGAACATGCAAATAAATAAAAAAATCACTTTGAATTGTGGAACTTAACATCTTGGTGTTCACGGTGTTTGACAATCAATATTGGAAATGAACGGAGAAGTGGTGGAACATGCAGAACCATATATTGGATCACTCCTGTGCGGCACGAAGCTGGTGACATCAAATCAGCTCCTATGCTGCTAGCTATGCCCTGCTTGGTCCCCTGGTGTGATGGAGGCTCCGTAGCATGTCATGAGCACCGAACTAAGGGGTGCGAACTGTCCTTTGTGATTGAGTCTTAAAAGATTTGCGGTGTCTTTTCGTTGATCTTCATTTCTATCATCGTTTTGAAGTTTTTACAAACAACTTAGGATATTGACAGTTTGACATACATTACAATCCAAGTCTCGAGTAGGAGTTTGCCAACAGATGACTCAATATACCCAGGACTCTCCCGTGGAACAAAATTTGAATGTTGAACCAATTGGTATGGCTAAATAAGTGTTAACAATCCTATATCCTGTTATGAATACCACTGGAAAAGGAGGATCTATGTTTTATTTTCCTTCCAGTTTCAGATAAAAGCTTCAGTACTAGTAATTCTCCCATTTGCTAAGCATTTGATTACAACCATAATACCCATATGAAATTAATGATGTTTCCTTCTTCCCTCTTGGTAAACTAAGAGAGAACATTCTTCTCTTCTTTTACTTGAGGTTTTGCTTCAAATTACCATTCTATAGGTGATGAATCTTACTTCTTTAAATGGCTTCAATCTGATCATGAAGTCAAAGCTCAAAGCCTTGATTCTGTTTGAGTTGGCGGTCATTTTTATATGGTTCTATAACAAAGCATTTCAAGTTTCTCATTATTTTTGTATGTATGGAAATCCTTCAAAATGTTCATGGGATTTCTTCCTCAAATTGATATTGATTGAACTTTGAATGTACCAGATGAGAATGAGAATAATGTCAAAAAAGAAGTAGCTGAAACTGTTCGACCTGAGGTGGATTTGAATGATGACCTGCAGCAGCACATTGGTTCTGTAGACATTATACAAACTAATATAGGTAATTGCAAAGGTAAGGAAAATGTTTGTCAAGGTGTAGCACAGGCAGATATTGACTCCTCTGGTGAGGTAAACATGGAGGCTACAATATTATCTGATGATGTTATACGGGCAGGAGGTTTTGGGGCTAGAGATGATATAAGTAGTTTTCTTCCAGTTGCAAGTGACTCCACTGACTTTGAAGCATCTCTTCTTGATGCCCGAGACTATGAAGAACCACAGGAAAAGATATGCAGACCGGGTCTTGGCTGGACAGAAGCTACAAAGTAAGAATAAGTTTTGCTGTTAGTATCACATACGGAGTTCCTGTGATATATTCTTCTGGTACTTCCTGTTTTCTTTTGATACTTTGAGCTATGTTCATTATAGGTGTTGGATTTACTTTTATTTTGAAAGATTCTCTGTTTTTCTCTACAGTGGTTGGTATCTTCATGAAAGAAATGAACCTATTTAACTTACTGAAGCTCTTTAGCATGGCAAAATGAAGTCTTTGTAAGCCTCTTTTTACACTAGTCTGTTGTATAATTAATATTCTGTTGACGACTGATATTGTGTCTAAGATGTCAACAAAAATTTCATATAGCACACATCACCCTCTTTATGCTTAATACTGCTTGGAAATCAATGGAATTGCAAAATTTATATTATTGATATATACAGTTTATTAAATACAGTTTTCATGCACTATGGCTTTTTCTTTACGTGCATTGGAATTCTGTATGGCTTATACTAGAAGGCCATTATGATGAAAATGCAGTTGCTTTTTGGAAGATCCTTTGGCCGGGAGCTAGGATTGCCAAAGGGTCATAGGTGGATTTCCTCCTTGCAAAAACTTCCCATTGAGGGCCGTAGTGAGCTTTCCACTCTTCCTGAGTGTTGTAATGGGCCAGATATTGCTTCATCCCTAGACGAGCCGTTTCGCAGAAATCTAGAATTCTTTTGTTTTGGGTTAAAATGTGTTCTAGACTATCTGTTCCTGGGGAAGATGGCTTTGCTGAGGATAGGAATGCCACTAGGTAGATAACATCATCTTCTGGAGTAACCATAGATGTTCTGTTGTTCCACCTGCAATATAGAAATGAGAGGATATCAAGTTAAGAATACTAAACTTGCAAACTTTTCAAGAAGACTTGATTAAGTTCATGAATTATTACTTAGATTTGTTTACTGGGTAGATCAGTATACGACCATTTCTAGTGTCTGTAACAATGTGTCCGAAAACTACTTCAGCAAAGTCATGAATTCTGCTTTTCGGAATAAGAAGATTTAGCCATGGGTGGGGAATCTCCCACAATCCTTTTTCTCGGAGTTTTAACTCGGACGTGTGCACTCTATCAAGGAATTCCACATATGAGACGTCTGAAAGGAAGAGTGTGGATTGAATATAACTTAATTCTGACAACAATCTGTCAATTTTCTGCATTAGGAAACAGAGATTAATGATGAGGTCATTTATTTTTATTTCATGGAGGTGTGAAGATCATTTCAAGTAAATATCGTTTAAGAGTTGTTTTGGGGTGTGGTTTAACAAGTCTCACCTGGTTCATTATATCAGTCTCATCTGGGTTGAAGTAATTGGCGATTTCTAGACAGAAGAGAGTCCTCTGATCCGATGCAAACTGACTGGCTTGAAGTGGGTCTCGAGGATTGAATGAGGATCTCCAGTTATCAAGGAGACCAGTTCTGTTAATTATGACGAATCCCTCTATATAATCGAAAGAGTTCTCTGATGATATTAAGTACTCTTGGTCCTTGGAAAATGTTGAAAAATCCGAATAAAGGACTCTAATCCATTTCACCTGGCAACATTCATTAATTATGTCACAAGACTGGTACTTCTTCTGGTAATTGGAACACTTTATACATAATTATGCAGAAATTTATTGTGATATTACCATTCTGGGTGCTGGTTCGAGAGCAATTCTAGCACGGGTTATGACACCGAACTGTCCCAGCCCTCCAAGAACACCATAAAACAGGTCAGCATTTTGATTCTCTGAACAGGTAACCACCTCTCCCTTTCCTGCACCCAATAAAATTTGAGTCATCCCTTTTGGGTTGAGTGTTGCTAGTCGATACTAGATACAGGTTAGCACCTGCTATATTGTTGCCTAAGGGCAACTTTTTTTTTTTCTCAACTATTCAGGTTTATAGTTCCAAGTCAATTCACAATTTAATTACTTCATAGGGCATTTTGCAAAAAAAATTAAAGTGGGTGAAATACGCTAACACCCTTGCCTTTCAGTTTTTGTCTTTCAATGAAAGAACAATTCTCCTTGTGAACTTTGATTTTGAACCAAGCCGATGAATCATAGGCATGGATACTCTATAAGAAATCGTATAGATCATATCGATACTATTACTCTTTGGAGTATTGTAGCTACGTGTCCACTACTTTTTAAACATATCTATAATTTGAAAATAAATTTTGTACTTTGAACAAGTATCCAAAATCTTTTCAGATACTTTGGGACACGTTTGACAGTCTTGATTATTGAAGTACAACATTTTTCATATTATACTATAATTGTCAAGAAAAGCATAACAAGGTGTTTTAAATAGTTGAACTTTCAAATTAGATTTTTTTTATGAAGATAAATTGAGTTACAATGAGAATATATCACGTCTAATTTAGTCCAAAGTCCGTCCATGCATAATAGCTCTCGGGTGATCATTTTTAAAAAAAATATATATACATAGGTTCATATACATAGAATATATACATATATATTTTGTCATGTCCTTTACGTATCAATATTCTATTTTCTGAAATTTTTGCTGTTGCTATGTCTGTATCTTGTATATATGACTGTGCTTCATAGAACAAAATTACTATTAGATTTTGTATGAGGGGGAAATATAAATGAATATCATGAACATACCTGTGACAACCTCTAGCTGGTAGACGTTATTAATCTGGGGTCCATGCCGGAATGCTTGCCCACTAATTCCAGCATTTGATAAAGTGCCACCAACGGTGAGATGGAGGTAATCTGTCCAAGATTTTGGCGTAAGTCCATGCCGAAGACACTCGTGCAGAATAGTTATCCAGAGATCACCACCAGAAACATCCACATAAGGCAGCTCCCCAGTGAAAAAGTGCATTTCTGATCCCTGCAGTGATTCCATATTGATAACCACTCCTCGATGGGTTTGTGCTTGACCTTCAAGAGAGTGACCATGGCCTCTAGCGGCAACAGTGAGCTCTGAGGTAATACCCATTTCGAAAATATGCTTTATTGTGGAGGAAATATCAGAAACAGATTTTGGATATAAAACTGCTGATGGGAGGAAATGGTACCGGTTGCCAAAATCCTTGGCTGCATGGTGAATGTTGTTGAAGCTAAGATGGCCCTCAAGTTTTAGTGCTTTCAGTGAAGGGGTAATCAAGGGCCCTGAATGAGGGAAGAAAGTTGAGGTGGCAAAGAAATGATTAGAACAAAGGTTATTTTTGTTGATGATACAGCTCAAGATGATGATGATGTGAATTATGAGGATCATATAGTTGTTTTGTTTGAGCAAGGTATAAGGTGGTGATCCCATATTTTTCTGAGGCTATGTTTATAGAAGGAAGAGAGAGAGAGAGAGAGAGAGATGTATAGAGAGAGAGTAGCCAAGGAAATGAAGGGTATGAAAGAGAATTTATAAGCGAGGTTGTGGGAGACAATCAGCACAATACACGATCAGTGACGAAACTGCATATGAAGTCTCTCTAAATTTTGTGTTGGAAGTGTTTAAGATTTTCTTTTGGCTCTCCTTTTTGCAGTCTAAGTGAAGGCGTGAGAAGGGAAGTTTTTTTATTTTTTATTTATTTATTTATATATATCTTTACTTTAGTGCTGTTCCCTCAGTTACAACTTCTTTATTCTCACCATTATTTGTTTCTTTCACTATTTTAAACTAATATGTCTGTGATTTCTTCACGGTTTTAACGGAATGCACCATTTTTCTCCTAAATTTGACTTTGTATATCGTTTGCATGCACTATTGTCAAATACTGCAATAATACGATTTCCCTTTAGCTACAGCTACATTTTTTTTTTTTTTGGGGGGGGGGGGGGGGGTGGGTTTGCTATTTTAAGCAAAGATGTCTTTAGGACTGGTCATGTAAGCACTCAGATTTTTGTGCAACTAGTTTTTGTTACGCTAGGAGCCGGCCCCTACCAGTCTCATGATGTTAGAGCTAAGTGTGCTAATACGTTGCTAACTGGGTCCTGCTGAACAAGTCATCTTTAGTAGCGTGTGTTTGGTTGTTTGGGTTTCTCACTCAATGGGTTTTGTTCAATTGAGTTTGGCGTTGGACTCTGCTTAGTGACTAACTTCACAGGATAACCATATAGATATTATGGTATCACTCCGCTAGCGAATGATTAAAAAAATGGTCCCTGCTCTGGCAAATAAGTAATAACTGCGCAGGAGGACCATGGATATTATTGTGGCATTCATTCAACTCATTCAAACACATCAGTTTCTTTGGACAATAGAAGAGAGACTTGTCCACAAGACTATGACCTTTAGATGGTATCCTCTGGCTTTTCTTCTTCAGATGTAGACATAGCAAAAATTGGGTGACTGGGGTTATGAGAGGGAGTCAAATTAGTGGGTCCTGCTGGACATGTGAACTTCACAAGGATGTGTTTCAGGGCTGGTATTATGATCTGTTACATCATGAATTCCCTCCTGAATACCGGTACAGGAGTAGGATGTGGAAAAAACACCCTGAGGTTAAACTTTAATGATTTTTTAATATTATTCTTACCTTTTATCTCATCTTACATGAGTCTCTAGTTATTTGGAGTCAAAACCCTAATCTCAGGTTTCTTAAGCTCCATGCATCTGTTGGTCTCGAGAAATTACTAGATAGTCTGAGACCTTGTGGCCCGAACAATCACAATAAGTCGTGCAACCAAATGTGCACGTTTTATTCAATTTATCTCTAGTTATTTGGAGTCTAGGCCTTATGGTCAGTTTTCCCTTGTATGTGTTGTTCACAAGAAATTAGTATGTGTTGTTCACGAAAAATTAGTATGTAGTCCAACCAATCACAATAAGTCATGCAATCAAATGTTGTAAGATTTTTATGGTTGCATAGCTTATTGTGATTGGTTGGCATCACATGGTCCCGGAGTACTGAATAATTTTTGGTCCCGGAGTACCGAATAATTTTTGGTTGGTCACAGAAGCATTGTACATTGGAGGGGCCTTGTGTGGGAAAGGAGGCTTTTGAAAGAGAGCAAGTGGGCGCAGGGATGACAGTTTGAATGGGAAAAACCTACAGAAGACTATCTTATCAACTAGGGTTAGCCCTTGGAGTCTTAGATCCCGGCAAGGGGACAGTGATTTTCCCTTTAATATTTTTCTTTACTTTGCTTTTTGTGCCAAACAAACTGCTATTGTGGAAAATCTCTCTTCCATTTGGTATTGTTTTTTTGAGCACTTGATTAGCACCCATTTGGAATCTGCAGCTATTTTTGGAAAAATAGTTCGATGTTTGTTTTCAGAGACTTCAGTATGTATTAAATTAATGACCTGTCTCAACTGTTGTGTTTGGGGTCATGGTTGTGTCACTTATTGACATCCTTTTCTTTTCTTTTCTTTTTTCTTAGTTGATGTTCACCCACATCCCTCAAGGAATTTTTTGTATTCAAGGGGATTCGATAAAACTGCAACTAATTTGATGGTAATTACCTATTCTTCTTGACCTCAAACAAGCCCTGATGGTCATGTTTTATGATCACCTACAATCTAATCTCTCTCCATACATTATGTATCCATCCAAAACCTCAGCGTGAAGGGATCTCAATGTAGTTATGGATCTTCATCTTTGTTGTTAACCCTATATTGATCACCTTCCTATTATATTGCAGCATTGTTGTTGTCTTTTTTCCTTTCTTTTTTTCTTTTTCTTTTTTTATTGGATATATACTTGCATACATTTCACAAACTGTCCACAAGAGTCTAGGCATTGGCGGATTTTTTTTTTTTTTACTATACCTAATTTTAGCTCAGCCCAAAAATAAAAAATATTATTACTACTATTAGCTCACCCAAAAAAATATTAACCTATTCCATTAACAATTTCTAGATCCATCCTTGAGTCTAGGGGCTCAAATCCTTGAACACCTCAGTGGATGGTAATGTCCAGATATAAACAATTTTAATTTATTCACGTATGATACTTTATGAAAGAATAATTAAGAATCGTGTTTTTAGCTTTGAATGCATCTCAAACTCCTTAATCTTTCTTTCACCACCACCACCTCTACCATTCCGCTATCCACTGCTTGTCTTTACAACTCCAATCACCCCCTCTTTCTCCACCGCTTGTCTTTACCAGTCCCCCCCTCCTCTCCTAATAGAAATCCCCCCTAATCATTTGATTGAGAGAAAGAGAGAGAAGGTTTAGAGAGAATTATTTTAATGTGCATAACTACATATTAAATATTTTATTATGTATGTAATATATAATGAGCTGCACTCCACTTTTTTTCACAATTGCATTTTTTTTTTTTTTGCTTTTAAAGAAAATGACAAAAAAAATTTTAAATTCATTAATGCGTCATCTTTTATTTTATGATACTATAATTACCCTTTTCACTACAAACTTTTAACTTTTTTACATTCTTTACTTTTTCTAGTATTTTCTTTCTCTGTTTTTTTTTTTTTATTTATTTATTTTTTTTTACCTGACAAGAAAGTTAATTTATTCAACTGAAACAACATGCATCAAAAATAAAAATTAAAATAAATTGTACAAGGCTTAAACTAAAGCTCCCATTCAACAATATGAAGTAACAAACTCAAACTCAAGGCCAGCTCTATCGTGTCCACAATGCAGTACAAGTGTACAACAGACAGACATGAGCAAAGAAATTGAAGGAAAAAGTTTTTCTGGATGTGGCTTCTAATTGTCCAGAAGGGGCTCATGGTGCATTTGAGTGGATCACACTCACTGGGGCGTGATTTTTGTCGGCAGTTTTTTTTTTTTTTTGTTAATTATTTTCATATAATTGGTTAAAATTAATGAGAAACTTTTTACCAATTTCATAGCTCAAAAGGATATTAATGGCAATGAGAAAAAAGAAAAAGAGGAATTGAAAGGCAGAAGATTATTTGTTTGACAAACAAGAAACAGTGGAATTAAAAACTTGTTCCAAATTTTAAAGGGTAGATGTGGTATTTGAGAACAAATAATAATTTATTTATAAAGTTAAGGCTAAAAATGTCATTTCTTTTAAAATTGGAGTGCAATTGCAATAAAATAGAATGAGAATATCACCTCTAGGGGTGGTAATTCGTGTTCGCGGGTCGTAATCGTGTCGTGTCAATTTAAGGGTATTATACTAAATAGGTCAACCCGAACACGACCCGTTTAATAATCGTGTCAAGAACTTTTAAAACTAACACGACCTATTTATTAAACAGGTTACACGTGTAACCCATTTAATGACCTATTTATCAAAAAATATATATATATATATTATTTAAATTATTAATAATACTCAATAAAGTAATAAATACTAAAAAAAATATAACTTTTAATCAACCAAATTACTAAATAGTCTATAGTTTACAAAAGATTAAATTATAAGACACAAGTTTATATAATATTTTTAGAACTTAAATATAAATTTATTTACGACATATATAGTTAAACGTGTATAAACGGGTTACACGGGTTGAACCCCTCAACCCAAACACGACACGATTAACTAAACGGGTCCCGAACCCGTTTAAGATCAATTCAAACCCATTTAACTCGTGTCGTGTTTGAGTCGTGTTAGCGGGTCGTGTCAACTTTTGCCACTCTTAATCGCCTCCCTATATAATTTGTAAAATCTAGAGATTTTCAAAGTTTACAAATTAAATTTATATTTAGTATGTATATTAAATATTAGTATAATATCTAATTATATATTTAATAAAAAGTACAAAAATATAGTAATATTATATATGTGTGTGTATAATAGCGTACATGTTGTAGAAGGGTATATTTATCCTAATAAAAACTAATGTGTACCGATTAGTCATTTAACATTGTATTTAAGGTTAAAATGTCCTCAATAAAAAATAAATTATTAAATAGTCCAAGATTATGTAACTCCAAATGAATACAAATGGACATAATAACATAATTCCAAACTATCTAATAATTTTTTAATATAACATCTATTTGTAATGAAAGGTAACCCAACAATTTACCTTTAGTTTTTAAGATGATGTTTACTTCTCTGTTTTCAAACTTTCACCACTGTGCTAGATATGTTAAACTTTAGAGTAATAATTAATTGGACGGCACTTGTGTCAAGTCTTTCGATATTGTGATCTGAAAAGGTACCATGCTTCAAAAAGGAGATGGATATGGTTCCAAGCTAAAATGCTACCCAATCAACTTCATTAGGTATGGAGTCCTAGATCCCAGCACTTACACAGACCAAAAACTATGCCCTTTGTTTTATTTTTCCATGCCTTTTTCATCCAGTACTTTATGAGGAGAATGGTCAGCCGAGAAATTATTGCATGACTTGAATTATATGGTCCGTCCAAAATTGACACATTTATTTGTATGTCAAGTTTTTATTGGTCGAAATTATGTTGTTTTGGACCGTATAAAAATTTCTAAGTTGGAGTTTTTTTTTTTTGAGTATTTGTCATCTCTTTAACAGCCTCTAAAAATTATCTAAAATAACTTTTTTGAACTTCCAAAAAGACCCTTGAAGTATACAAGTTCTGCAAATAACTCCCTTTCCATCTAGCATTCTAACAAAATGACAATAACTCTTCTTACCAAAAAGAAATTAAAATTTTGAGTTAAAGAAGTGATTTTGAAATAATAGATGGCGGTAGATGTCTCGATAGTTTAGTGTGTTAGTGTCTTTGATGAATTTTGAAATGTCATAATTCAACTGTATGCATCTACTGATCTAACTTTTAACTTTTCTTAAATCGTAAAAAAATAATAATAAATAAGAGATGGTCCAAAATTA